GTCAAGAGGCAGCATATGATTAAGAACCAGTAGTACATCCAAGCTCCACTGAATGCAGTAGTTAAGAACAAGCTCCAGGAATTGATAGAATACCAATTGAGATGTTTTAATAAATGTGTGCAATTCTGGAAGTGCTCACTGATCTATGCCAAGAAATGCGAAAGTCAGCTACCTGGCCAAGTGATTGGGAGAGATTCCTTTATTTTTTTTCAATTAAAAAAATTTATTTTTTAAGTTTTATTGGCACTTCTTCCACCTATAATTCAATGGCTCACTCATATAAGAAGAGTTGTACAGTCATTATCACACATTATCACAATGGATTTTAGTATATTTTCTTCTTCCTTGTACTCATTATTAGTACAATTACTATTATTTTTTACCCAACAGAAAAGTATACACAACAAAACATTCTCCAAAACACCTTCTACATGCATGTTTCAGTGGCACATTGATTATACTTGGTTATGCAACCATTATTGATATTCTTTCAGGAGAAATCCTTATTTTTGCCCATTCCAAAGAAAAGTGATACAACAGAATGTGGACTTATCTAACAATAGTATTAATATAAGCTGTAAGTAAAATTTTGATAAAGATACTTCTGAACCAGTTGCTGCAGCACCACTGACAGGGCACATCCAGAAGTTCAAGCTAGGTCTAGAAGAGGATGTGGCAAAAGCAGCATCACTGCTGACATCAGATGGATCTTGCTTGAAATAGAGAATATCGGAAACAGGTTGACCTGTGTTTTATTTGACTGGATGACAGCAAATGATGAACAATATATCAAAGAATGGGAACTCCAGACGCTTAACTGTGTCGCAGAAGAACCTACACATCGAGTATGAGGCAATCATTCGAACACAAGGGAATGCTGCATCGCTTAAAATGATGTAAGGTGTGTGTCGAGATGGTATGGTGTCAGCATACTTTAAAAACTTTATGCTGAGCAAATAACCAGAGAAGCTGGACTATATGAAGAACACAGCACTGGGAATGGAGGAAGGCTCATTAATAACCTACGATACACATGACACAACCATTCTTGCTAAAAGTGAGGTGGATATGAGGCACACACTGATGAAGATCAAAGCTATAGTCCTCAGTCTGGATAATGTATCAAGGTAAAGGAAACAAAAGCCCTCAGAACTGGACCAATAAGCAACATCATCATCAGATGATAAGCAGGAAAGAGTGAAGTTGTGGAAGTTTCATTTTACTTGGATTCACAAACCACCACAACAGAAATAAGAGTCAAGAAGGGATTACATTGGGCAAATCTTCTGCATGAGATTTTTGTAATCATTTACTCTATGATCGTTTCCTGGGCTATTTACTTGTGAACAATAGTTCAACATAATAATCCACAAAGAATGACTGCCTGCAGTAAAGTAAGCAACAGAGCTATGAAAGATACTTGCCAAACCAAATCAGTGTTTCTCAAAGTGGGTGACAACCGTCCTTTGTGGGGTGCTGGAAAGATCGGAGAATAGGGGCTGCAAAAGCAGATACTTAGAATTTATCCTGTATTATGGCCTATAGTATCATAGTTTTTAATTGCCAGAAGGGTACTGAATAATTTTTTTTCTAAAAGGAGGTGGTTGGTCTAACAAATTTGGGAACCTATGATTCAAATTAGTTTTCTTCTATTATAAACATCAATAAATTCAATTTTCAAGAAAATTTACATTTCTCATTAAAAAACGTCCTCCCTCATCTTTTCACAAATAACTGTATCAAGATCAAACAGCCGGAAGTTAGTGCCACATTGTTCCATATGAGAAGAAATATCAATTTGCTATCTATTGCAATTTTCCATCACTAGACTGTATCTGCTATCATTAGACTCCAAGTTCACTTTACAGTTTTGTTTCTGAGCTACTATATCATGTGGATATGCAAACCCTTGTTTACATAAATCAAAAAGAAGTGGCAGAATATGGAACACAAGGAAAAAGTTCTACTTGAGAACTTCATTTTCTAAGAAGGGAGCTCTTACTTACCTTGACCTTTTAAACCACTAGCTCTCAACCTGTGGGTCTTAACTCCTTTGGGAGTCGAAGGACCCTTTCACAGGGATTGCTTAATACATCTTGCATATCAGATATTTACATTATGATTCATAACAGTAGCAAAATTATAGTTATGACGTAGCAATGAAAATAATTTTATGGTTGGGGGGGTCACCACAACATGAGTAACTATATTAAAGGGTCGAGGCATTAGGAAGGTTGAGAACCGTTTTAAACTATCAAATGTGGAAATCTATGGTACTTATTGTGAATGTCATTCACTACTAAGCAAATGAATAGAAAAGATGTTTATATGTACACACAAATAAAACAGATAAAGATAAGCGATACAAAGCATAAATAATATGGTATTACTGAATAACAGCTTATAGAAATTTTCCTTTAATCCACAGAATCTCAGTCCATAAAAAAAATACTTAATGAAAAAAGTGGGTGTGGTGGAGACTAGAGATATGCTTTTACCTAGCTTTTAAAAGTTTGCACAAGTATTTGTTTTCATCTTTCAAAGGTTTTAGTTGACAAAGCCAGGGAAAGCTTCCAGAGTATGTACATTTACACAGCAATCAATTTCAGGGAGAAAGTATTTCCCCTTTGTGAAAATCTACATTCAGTGAAATGAGTAACAAATTAATTCTCATCAAAATTTTAACCTTCTTGAACTCAGGTTAGGATTCCCTAATAATTAAAATAAGCATTCAATGTCTTCCTCTAGTCTCATGTATCTATTTATTAATGTTTGAAAATTAAAATACTCAGAAAATTAATAGAATACTGAGCTTTCTACTGCTTTTAAGCCAGTCAACTTGTTTTTGACGATGCTCCTACAAGAAAGTCAATAAAGGGTCCTTCTCTTTACCTGCAGAATCCGGTTGCTAGACCTCCTTTCTCCAGCTCCTTAAAACACTCTGATATGCTTAATAAAAGGGTTAAAAAAATGATGAGGACACAGTGGATTCCAACTGAGAAAATTTTTCAAAGATTTTCTCACTAGATGCATTTTCTACTGAGCAATTCAGCACTCTTAAAATGTTAAAAAAAAAAACACAAAGCAAAACAAACCCACTGCCATCAAGTTGATTCTGCTCCATGACTGTAAACCTTTATTAGGGCAAATATTGTGTGGTAGGTTTGAACTGCTAACCTTGAGGGTTAGCAGCCCAAAGCCCAACCTATAGTACTGCTGGTACTCCTTAAAACGTATATATCTATATATGAAACTACCTTTTAAAAACAATTCGATTATCTTATCCTAAAAACAAGAGTAGTAAGACAGGGGACCAGCACCACTCTCTCAGAATGCTGGATCGGTATCATGTACAAGCCTACCAGAATTAGAGTTGGACTTCAGCACCTTCTCCTTGAGAAGGCATTTTCATGTAGAGGCAGTACATGCCACAGACAGCTTCCGGGTTGATGCCAACCATTCCTTAATATACCTCCTGCTTTCCCTTTTCCCCAATCCTATCGAGTGGTAATGGAATCCCTTGATCCTCTTTAAAAAAATCTCCACTACATATGTATCCATTTATTACACTTGGAAACTTAATATATTCCATTTCAAACCAGCACTTCCTTTCCCTCCACGTCTGTCTCTAACTTCAAGAATGATTCATGAATAGAAGGAACTCCAGCTCCAAGCTAACTGCCATTGAGTCGATTCCAGAATACACTGCCCCCATGGGCTTCCGAGACTAGAACTCTCTACTCTCCCCCATGGAGTGGCTGGTAGTTTTGAACTGCTGACCTGGTCACAGGCAGCCCAAAGCGTGACGACTATACCACCCAGGCTCCTCCAAAGGCCTAAAAGAAGGAAACCATTTCATTTTCTCCCATTTCCCCAGATTCTAGCCATGATACTATGAACAATGCTGAGAGTCAGGGCAATGAAACTTATTTTGTGGACAAATTTTAAGGACCTAAGTCTCAGTTTAAAGCAAATGGATAGCTTTTTGACATGAAAGAGAATAACTATTCCAAGCCCAGGCCCCAAGCCTGTCTCTCTGTACCGGTTGGCCGTTGTTCAGGAGGTCCTCTTTGAAGCGGAGTTTTCTTTCCAGGTCTTGAATGACCGCATCCTTGGTGCCTTGGATTTCTTCATCAGAGGCTATTCTAGCAGTTCTACCCGCTTTCTTTGGAAATCCGCTGCAGGACAAAAGCACAAAGTGGTACAGTCAGTTGTCAGTCATATAAACCCAAGTGAGACACTCAAACCCATCAAAGAAGCAGAGCAAGGTGTCAACATGTTACTCCCGCTCTATTTGCTCCAATTCTCTCACTGCCATCCAGTCACAGTGACCCCACGTGGATTTCTGAGACGATAACTATCGACAGGAGAAGGCCCAGTCTTTCTCCCACAAAGCTGCTGGTGGTTTCAAACCGCTGACCATGCGGATCGCCGCAGCAAGACTACAGTTACCTCAACTAATTATGGAAAGAGCCATAAATGCTAGTTTCAGCACCTCAGGTAGTACTAATTGGCACCAGTTTTCAGAGAAAGTTCAAATGCCTTTTAAG